GAAATCACCAAGTCCAACATGTTAAAGGCTGTTTTCTGTATCTACAGGAGAGGACAGTCTAAACAGCAGTATTAGACCACTATCTGTCACAGAGCCCATTATCACTAAAATACTTTTACGATACCTGCACAGAACTGTTCAACTTGGGACAGATCATAAGACAGCAACATGTGGGTCAACAGAAAAACAGCATCTCACATTACCTAGAAAAGCTTATGGGCATGTAGCAGGAGAACAGAGATCATGCTGAATTCCCCAAAACTGATGCAAGTCTGCAAAAGATAAAGCTACACGGAGAAGACAGGTGGAACTGGATGAGTACCAGAGCTCATTCTGGGCTTCATTCAATGGTGATATCCTGCAACAGAGAATGGTTACGTTCCAGCAGAATTCAGCCACCATTCCACTTCAGTGACAAGCTTGTCACTGGTGTCAGGACAGACAAAGATGTGCCCAGAGAGGTCCCACTTGGAGCACCTCCTACCAGCTGCTACACGAACAGTCATACAGCCACCAATTTAAGGTCCACAAAAGTCTGCCCTGACTGTGGCGCAGCACAGAGAGAATGGAGGTGGGGGAAACATTTTAAAAATCTTTTCAAAGGCACCCAGCACTTTTTAAAAACAGTGATGTCCACCAGGACAGAGGCAGCCCTCAGACTAGCTGGAGACAGACAAAGCAGGATCTGCCCACAGGCCCTGTATGGCCAGAACCTTGCCAGATACAGGTGCACAGATTTCCATGCTAATGTCCTTCCAAATTTCCATGCTAATGTCCTTCCACTCTCCTCCCTTTTCCATGCTAATGCCTTTGAAGACAAATGCATCCCCCGAAGCAACTGCAGATTGACAGCTCTGCTCTGTAAACAAGTGTCAAGGAAACAAAGCCTTAATGATGCTCTGTCATCTAAAAATACTATAAACAATGTCTGTGTTACTGATGGATAAAAGGGGGCCTTGTTCCTAATGAAGAGGATGGACTACCAGAGGAAAACCCACTTCCCAGCTCTGTAGGACTCCGGTGCATACAAACCCCGGGTTTTCATTCAACTTCACTGGGCTCTGCTCGCCATCAGCCCTATTGAGAGGACAAGCTGACACCACAGCTCCGACACAACAGGTTCTCAGCACTAGAACACAACTGGCAATTAAGAAATTAGTATTGGGAAAGTTCATTGTAGCCTTCTGTGGAAAGGCATTGGGAAAATTCATAGCATTATTAGAAGAGTGCCGTAAATAGACTGCCAAGACAGCCAATCCAAACATCATTTTCACTCAAAGATATAAAAATAAATAAATTCCTCCCTTTACTTCATCTTGGTAATTTTCCTGTATCTAAGTGATTTCATGTCTGCTCCCCTGCCAAGTGCCACAGTTTGATGTTTCTTGTGTTCCAGTAGTGACTCCCCCACAGGGATTCCCTCATCCAAGTGTGACCCAAAATAAACAGCGAGGTTTGTCTCACTCTGCCCATGTTAACACATGCATTATTCAAAATGGCTCAGAAGTGCAAAAGACTTCACTAAGCAACTGACCCATAGAGGAAGAGACAGAGATTACAGCATCATGTTCTTCAACCTGCTAAGAAGGTCATGATCTATTTAGCATGGAAGGGAAACTAAGATTTCACAAGGTGTAAGAAAAAAATGGATTTGGAAATTACATCTTATTCCGTCCAGATCTCTTGATAATTATCCTCTGTATCTCCTTGCCCAAATCTGATCAAATTCCTTTATGAATCTTTTTTTCCCATATATACTTCTGAAAACAGAGACACAGTTATTTTTTTTAAAAAGAACAATGTCACACAATGACTGTGCCACCCGTTCTCATATCTTACACCTATCACTCTGTTATTTCCTTTGCAGACCATTCTGTGAACATTAAAAAATACATCAGCAATGCCTGTGTAATGCCAAGGGAAGCAGGAATACATTTCAAAGTGAAAATGAAAGGGAGATGAAAATACATTTCCAGATTTTCTATTTTCAGTGCACTTTGTGAGCGATTTTTATGACCGACACAAACATACAGCACACATCTTTTTGGTTCTTATACACCACTATTGTCCTGGAAATCAAGAAACTGTCCAATACAAACCAAACAGACTCAAAATGAGAAGAAGCTATTCCACAAAGAGGACTAGAACTAGGAACACTCTAGAACACTCTCCCACAGGCATCTTTAGGATTTTATTTTGCTCCAGTTCAGGCCACTGCTTGTAAAATTGGGGTGAACATATTCTAAGAAATTCACTAGGGCAGAATACAAAATAATAATGCAACATTTGACATTAAAAATGACAACCAAGAGGATATGCCATAAAACATATTTATTTAATCAAATCAGTAAATTCCAGTTGTATTTTTTTACCAGCTCCAACGACTAAGAAAGCAAAAAAATTGACGTTTAGGGATCACAGAGTTTCCTGTCATTCATTACCACAGTAAATTGGTGCTTCGCTGAGCTTATTAAAAAATGCCTCAGCAACAAAAGCACAGTAGGCTTTAATTTGATGATGAACCTGAAGTGTCAAGACCAAACAGCACCAGGGAAGGAGCATCACTAACATTCCTGCTCCCAGTATTTAAAAGCTAAGATACTGGTTTTCGCCAGCTCTTGGGTTAGGAGGCATGAGCATATCAGCACAGTTTTACAACAGCAAACAAGCTATTCATTTCTCCTCATGCCATCATCTATTAATCTCCTCAGATACTTTGGTATCTGAAGCAAGTTTCTCTAATTTCATGTGTTTATTTACCCTCAGTTCTCCTTCATTCTCCTCCCCTCCTTCACAAGAGTAAATGGAAAAAAATATTTTCAATAGACAAACACAACTCATCCCAGAAAGAAAAAAAGACACAAATAGACCTGATGCTGAAGAGCAAAAAATTGAGGATCACCAGGATGAAAATAGATCAACACTAGAGCTCTGAAATGTGGAGATAAACCACAAACAAAAAAAAAATGCAGAAATGTTTGGTTTTTATCATGAAAATCAGATTTCATTTCTCATAGCTGACAAAATTATTCATCAATAGATGTTTTCATATGACACTCGATCTTTTGGAAAGCTTTCTGGGGAAAGGCAAGCTCAATCGCCTTTCCCCAGTTTGTGGCACACAGGAGAATCAAGATACAGACCCAACTCTTACTGCCACCTCTTCAGAGCAGCAACTTCTGGACTACAAAAATCATCACATCAAAACCACCATCCAGAGGCAAAATTAATTTATTTTTTATCCAGAGGCAAAATTAATTTATTCAACCTGAATTAATTTGTGATTATATATTTTCAAAGTTTCATTTTGGGGCAGGATGGGAACAGAAAACCTCAACAGTGATTTTTCTAATACAAGTGTTTTTTCAAAAGCTTCGAGTGAAAATAAAAGTCAAAAAGTTTATAACACAAATGAAAGGATAACTTTAAAAGATATTACCAAGCTGAATTTAAAATGCCAATTGCATTTTTCTTAGTTCTTGTTGCAGATTAAATACTTCCAAAGATACAATGAAGATCTAGCACCTCATTTTCAAGTTCTCATCCTACTGAAAAATAACAAAGACATTCTGTTAAAGCACAAAACAAAACAACCAAAGAATCTACTTGTATCATCATACCTCCTTTTATTTACTGACCCTGTATGACCAAAATATGTTTTGGAGAAATTTTGATAAGTTGGTCCCCACGGGAAATGTAACTTAGAAAATAAAATCCATGAAACTTCATACCTGTGGGACTGAAACTTCTTCCCTCAAGCAAATGTTCGATTCTCCAGGAAACATGCCAAATGCGTTATCAGCACCTCTGAAAACTCCAGAATTTCCTATTTCATATATACCACCACTGTCTTCATGTTGTTTCTTACACACTGCCAGAAGACTTTCCATAGTTTCTGGATGGTTCACACAGCTCAACAGCAAGGAACACACTTTGGTACTGACAGGTCAGCAGGGAAAGGTTACACTTCCCACTTCACCCACCCTGGCGTTCAGGCTCAGAATTGAAGCATCAATCCCCGGCCTGCTGCAGATTTGAGATGTGCTGGCCAGAAGGGATCAGTCCCCTGCTTCAGGGGCTCTCAAACATTGTCATTTGCCACTCCAGGCATGTGGAGTCAAGGCAGGAGAGCATGTGCACGCTGCACACCTTTCACCATCACCTCTGTCTGCACACTCCACAAACCCTTTGGGTTCTGCCTCTCACACATCACACGTGCCACTTCACACACCTCGCTACATCCCCTTCACACTCAGGCAGTTTGTTCCTTCTTCCCCTCCAGAAAGGCATTCTCAGCCTCATGCTCTAGCACATACAGAAACCGAAGCTATGGCTGTGATTAAAAAACATACAGCATGGAAAAGAAAAGGTTTCCGTCTCCTTGTCTCAGTGTGAACCACACGATTCTGAGAAACGTTCGACTTCAAGCTCCAGCCTTAGGGGTGTTCTTTTACATGAGGTGCCTGGCAATGGTTAACACTTGAATTCAGAGCTCTGGCTAAGGTTGCATGTAACCTATCATTTATATCTGAAGCTGCAGTGCAGTTCATTAGGAAATAACTGTGTTTTCCCAACCTACCATGCATGGGTGTGATTCACAGAGCAGTTTCAGTGTACTTGAGCTACATTCCTTTTACAGGATTACAGAACAGAAGCTCATATTTGGATGCGTTGATAAGACAATCCAACTACTAATGGAGTCAAAGCAATGACTCGATATTGGATGGCTTCAAGCTGTATGCCTGACAGAAACCTTCAGTCCAGATCACCAATTAAAAAAGAAATCTAGCTAAAAGTAAATGCCAAGGGGCCTCGGCATCACCTTCTGACTTTCTGATTCTTCAAAAAACCCAAACAACATCCATAGAATTAAACGTTCTTTCTGAGTGAGCAAGGCATCAGACTGGCTCACCCAGTTTTTCAGCAGACATATTCATACAAGCTCAGCTCTAATGACACCAGAAATAGCCCAAAACCCCAGTAAAGATCACACCACTTACCAGGCCACTGCAAGTGCTGATGGCTGCTGTCCCACTGCCGGAGCCGGGCTGCCACGCTGTGCCAAGGAAGTGGCAAGGAACTCCTGAGGGAGCTGAAATCTTCGCCCTGGTGTGGTTGCCACGTCTCCTTTCTACTACATAGTTATGGGAAAGAAATCCCGTGTGGATAGTCAAGTTAAAAAACAGATCTTTCTCCTTGTGATTAATTTTGTAATATACCACATCTTCACTTTTTACGAGATGTCTCTTCTTCCTCAGACTTGAGATGGGAGGGTGTAGATTAAAAGAAAGAAAATGCCCACTTGCATCTACTCTTGCTGGATGAACCACGTGGTATTCTGGCACTGTCTTCACAAATTGCTCTGAGAGAAAGGGGGGGAAAAAAAGAAACAAAACTAGAGTGAGTACTAGCTTGTACAGATCTCACATAATTTAAAGGAAAAATCAGAAGTGAGAGCAATTCACCACAACGCCCTACTGACAGACAGTGCACAGACTACTATGGAACACATTCCTCATTTGGGCTTTCTATTCTCCCATTGTAACCCTCAGTTTAGAAGGTAAACATTCTTCTTTTCAAACATTTGTCCCCATTCATATAAAAGACTGACTGTCATGCACACTCCCCTCTCCCAGTCCCACTAGAGCTGGGAACCCTTCATGACCTAGGTCTCCAGGACATGATACTGTGATCAAGGAGTGTGATCTTCATACATCCAAAAAACTGACCACCTGAACTTGGACAGAGAGCCTTGCAAAGACATAAAGGTGAAGACAACACAAATTGATTATCTGTAGTAACAGCATCTCAGTAGCACCAGCTTTAGCAACTGCTACAGCTGCAGCTTCAGAATTTCAAAGAAGGGTTTGAAGAGAATGAAGTAATCCTGCTGTGTTGTATAAGGCGTTCCAAGCAGGGTAAGATTGGACATCTTATCACTTCTCAGAATCTAGCAGGGAAAGAGAGCATTATTGACATTGTTGTCCCCTGCTACAACAGGGGAAGCACAAGAAGATACAGAAGAAACACCAGCTGTACCCAATTTTATTTTTTTAAATTAATGTGAAACGCAAAAGCCCCGTGCAAATAACACAAATCCACATAAAACACAATCCATAAGAATTCATACCCTAAGGGCCAGATCTGCTGGGATAACTTGAATTCTACCCAAGAAATGACAGTCTGAACACATTTAATTAAAAAGAAGTTATGATGACATGCATTAATCCAGTTCCTCTTTACCCAGAGTCGCTCTTCACTCCCAAAGTCCCAGCCACTCACACATAAAGTGACTACACCCCATTCATTAACTAAGCTGCTTAACAAAGCAATTAGCCTGTTCCAGCTGCTTCCAGGCTAGGTCTAGTTAGACAATCCTTTTAGAAGCACTTCTCCCTCCATTGCCTATACCTTCAAAGTCACAGAGGAAAAATCCTGCCTAAGCAGGCAGCTGTCTGGATTCATCCCCTTCTGGAAGGAGCACATCTCAGCTGCCCTCATTAGCTGCAGTTTAAGACGTGGCTGCCTGAGCTTCCTCAGGCCAAAGACCCCTGAGACAAATGCACTGAAACACTTCCAACTGAAAGGAAAGCAAAACAAAACACACAAAGTCCCCGGCCTCCCAGCACATATAGAACTACATCAGAATTCTGGCCTAGTTTCAGCAGCAACTCTACTTCAGAAGCAAACTTATTCTCTTACACAATAGATTTCTTTGTATACAAGCCTGCAGTGACTTGGAGCCTTTGCAGGACAAGCCACAGCAGTGGGGTTTTGGGCCTTCACAGAGCCAGGTCTTGACAACGTGGACAATAATGCCTACCAGAGGTTCTCAGAGACATCTGCCCTTGTCCACTGAGGGGACTGAGACGCTGGAAACTCAGTGCACACCTTCACGCCTGCAGTTGGCACAGCCTGTGGACAGCACAAAAGGTGCTGGATGCCTGATAATTCAGCAGCTGAAGCTAACCCAAGCCTCCTCACACTCTACAGGGAAGGAAAAAAGAAAAAAAAAAAGGCAGGTAGAAGAGATAAGATCTGCAGATGCTAAATTGTGAGACTTCCCAGATGTCTCACATCCCATATTGGGATATGGGACTTCCCAGACATGGGACTTCCATATGGCGAGCAAAGTCAGACTAACAGAGAATGCTGCAAGACCAGCCCCATTTCTATGGTCTTCAGCACAACTCATTAAAAAATCAAATCCAGTGCCTGAAGGAAAACTCACTCATTTGCTGTCACTGTGCCATTTGCCTCTGCCTGATGTCTTGAACCTAATTTGTTGTGGCTTAACTGCTGAACTCTATGCAACACCAAAGACTTCTGGTTTTGGATTTAAAACTATGCAAGGAAGTTTTTTATTTCATCACTATAGCATCACTTAGTGTACAGAGGTTAAAGAAAAGTAGGCCATCAGCATCAGTAAGATGTAAAATAAGGCGGAAGCATTGGATTATCAAAGCAGAGATACTGAACTTCTTCCATAAACACATTAAATACTTGTTTAGTTACTGGAGAGGAGAATTATGCTGCAATAATAATGTACTGTAATACAACTGCAGAAATGAATTATTAAAAACCCTTCAAAAGACCAGAGGGAATAAGATTACGACAAAAAAGTCTAACATGATGAGGGTAATAATATTTCTGCAAGTAATCACTATCAGTACAGTTTTGCCTAGACTGGGTAAAATTCAGTCCTAACTACAACAGAAAAATTTACTGAGCTCCACACTAAGCCTAAGACAGCATAGTTTCTGCCTGGAGAAGAGTGTAAAACAGACAAGTGGTACAATTTTGGTGATCCCTTTCTGCCCTTCTAGGAAAGAACAAAATTCATGCAACGCAGACTGCTCAAAATTAAGGGCTGCATCCCTCAATACCGAATACCTCTAGTTTCACATAGTAACGGGAATTCCTATTAAAACACCACAAGTTTCCATAAAATTTTGCAGCAGCAAACATAAATGGAGAGAACAAATGCCACTGACAAGCCGTGGCACTGGCAAGTCATAGCATCCCCCTTGGACATCCAGCATTCTCTCCACTCCAGGGGAGTCCCACCTGTCGTGTGGACACTGCTCAGGACTTACAGGCCAGGAAAGGTGGCTGTGTATCTCCAGAGGGTGTTTTGTCTTTCCAGAACTACAGCCTGGGCATGCTGGCTTGTGTTGGTATTGTGAATGAGACCGAAACATGGCAATGAGCAGCACACACTTGAGTCACAACTTTTATCTGCAATCAGTGTCTGCTCAGACTTTTGGGCGCACAGGGCAGGCAATGTTCAGGCCCTTCACACTCATTTTGAGGAGCCCAAGCACTCTTTAAGTTGTCAGAAAAGTCTTCTCTGCAGACCTTTCAAATTCCACATCAGTGAAAACATCTGATAATATTCAAAACCACTCCTGTGTGTTCTGCTCCTCTGTGGATTCAAATTCACCACACATGGCAGAGAATTGCCTTATTAGGAATGGCTGTACACAAAGTGGTTAAACTAGGATAAAAACATACATGATCTGTCACACATGACAGGAAAACCACAATTTATTTTAAATACATAACATGTTCCCTGACAAAATTCCTTTAAAATGTGACGCACCATCATTTGCCATTGTTTCATCTCCATCTTTGTAGTTTGTGTACATGTGCCCCTCAGACCCTCTGGCTTGTTTTCAAACCATTCCCTGGGATAGGAAAAAGTGTGGGCTCATCTTGCGAGGAAGCATCACACCCAGGAAATACAGCAAGCTCCATTCAAAGCCCTACAGCAGAGAGCAGGCCTTCAGCACTCTGCAAGGGCATCCCAATGTCCCATCCACCACACTTATGGATGTAGAGAGGGGAGAACACTTCAACTCTACCACATACAAATTTCAGTCCACACCTCACACTGCCAGAAACCTTCCTGTGTAAAAAATTAGCCACATTTTTAACTGCCCCTTTACTCAATGATATTTGCAAATTCTTGGAAAAGACTGTTTTCAATGCCTAGAAAGTGAAATTACTTCTACATTAATTTCCACATGCCCAACACTTAAACAGCCGCTACATGCTAACACAACCATCCCTGTTCTGTCCCATGTACAGTCACAGGGATGTAATTTTAGCATCCACTTTCAATGAATCCACCAGGAACCAACTTCAGGATACTTGAAAATTCACTTTTCAGGCACCTTATTGAAACACTTTTCAGGCACTTTATTTAAACACCTTTCCACACTCTCTGACAGATAGAGAAGATTTTCTCTTTTGTGTTCAAGCTCTTTTGAAAGGACCACAGCTGTTGATTACAGAAGCAAAATTTCTTCATATACTTTTGGATCTTCTACTGCCAGGCAGAGTCTTCCAACTACTCAAAATTTTTCTCCCTTGGGAGCCACAATTTTCCTTAAGCCGGCAAAAACTAAAATAAAAATTAAATTTCCTTGCACTCCCCACTCCAAAAGAGGACAAAATAACCCAACTGTGAGGGCAGCCTCAAAGAAACTCCTCCCGCGGGTGAAGTCTGATTTGTAATTTACCATCCTCACTAAATGTGAGAAACTCACAGCGGGTGCTGAACCCTGATAAGACCAATCCTTCTACAGCGCCTGCTGCTTTGGTACAGAAGCGATCGCTTGCTTAAAATAAATAAATAATCAGGACAGTAAACTTCTTCGGTTTAGTAGCACAGAACGATCCCGGCATTTAGACAGCTGCTTCTAAACGGGGAAGATCTGCAACAGGCGGAGTTTAGCAATACCTTCATCTCTCCACAGCCAAACTCTGCCCGGGAGCCGCATAAGGCGCAGCCAGAGCGCTGTGCCCCGGTGCGGAGCCGCTCCCGGCAGCGCTGCCCGGGCAGCTCCAGGGGCCGACACGGCCCGGCTGCCGCCCCTCCCGCCCGAGCAGCGTCCCGGAGCCGCTGCGCTGCTCGGGCTCGCACCGCACCCTCGGCGGGACCCGCTCCCCGCGGCGTCCCGCCCCGTCCCGCCGCCACTGACCTTGCCCGCCGTCGGGGAACGGGGAACTGCCGGCCGGCGGGGCCCTGCCCAGGCAGGGCGCTTGGGCGTGGAGGACGAGGAGCCAGAGGGAGAGCACGCGTGCGGCCCGGCTCCGCGGCACACATGGCATGGTGCGGGCGGGCAGCTGCGAGCGGGGCGCCTATCGGGGCCGCGGCATGGCCGGGCCGCTCCCGGCGCCGCCGGACTCAGGCGCCGCTCTGCACAAGGGCTGCGCGAGGCCGTCCCGGTGTCTGGTTTCTGCCGGCGGAGGAAGGAGGGCTGTGGGGAGGGAGCAGCTCCCGGGAGCCCCCGCCTCGGAGCCGCCGGGGTTAACGCGGCGGGACGAACCGGGCCGGGTCGGCGGGGAGGGAGGAGAGGCGAGGCCGCCAACAGGGACCGCCGCCCCTCTCCGCCCTCACCGCAGCCGGAGTGGGGAGTTCGGCCCGGCCGCCCTCGGGGAGGGCCGCCCGCACAAGGCTGCGTCCCCTCGCTGGGTCACGCCGGTGTCTCCGCCGAGGGGCCGGGGCAGGGCGCCTCGCAGCCCCGCACAGGCCCTGGCAGAGGTTCCCTCGCCACAGGAGAAGGTGTTGGAGGCAGGCGGGAGTTTCTCCCGTTGTCCACCGCTCCTGATGCGGCGGGAGGGGATAGGGGTTTCCCGGGCTGAAGCATCCCATAGCCCGTGGCCCCTCGGGTCCCAGCAGCCAGAGCCCGGTTTCCAGGCTACCTGATAGAATCACAGAGTCAGCCAGGTTGGAAAAGACCTCTGCGATCATTGAGTCCAGCCTGTGTCTGAATGTCAAAATGTCAACCAGAGCATGGTAGCAAGACCCACATCCACTGCTTTCTTAAACACCTCCACGGATGCCGACTTCACCGCCTCCCTGGGCAGTTCATGCCAAAGTCGAATCATCCTTCCTTGTGAAAAAATTCTTCCTAATGTCCAGCCTAAACCTCCCCTGATGCAGGTTAAGACTCCTCAGGGTGCCGAGACCGTTCTGCGTTTAGCAGTGTGCTGGCACATTGGGGTTACTTCTGAATGTCCTCCCTATGGACAGAAAGTTCCTAAATAACCTTGCCATCTACATTTTCAAGTGCATGCCATGTACTCTCTGGCAAGTCTCCTCATCGAGCATCTGCTATGGTCACTGCCAGGCCAAGGATCGACAGGTGGGTGCACACTTCAGTGCTGTCCCATGCTTGAGACCTGGGCTGGGCTCCTCATCTGCTTTGGCAGCCTCCTGCTTAAAGCTAGCTCCACCATGGACTTCTTGTATACTTTCATTGCAATCTGTGCTTAATTATCCTTGTTTCTCTGCTCAGTTTTCCCAAGATGAATGGCTGCCACAGTTCAACTGCCTTAGCTGTAAGAACTGTGAACTCCAGAGCACGGAAATGCAAAAAAAGAGTTAAAGCTCCAAGGTTTTCTAAATCAGCAAAAAAATGTGGCTTCCCCCAGGACTCAGACAGGTAACTCTGGAAACGGACATATTTATAAGAGTGATAATTGATTTAGGAATCGTCATGTGCTGTCTTCTAGATAGTGGAAGGACACCGACCATGCAAAAGGAATATTTGATATTCAACATGGCTTATTTGATATCCAACAGTACTTGCCAAGAGAAGATTTGTTAATTGCGAGGTATTTTTTTCAATATTTCTGTCCATATATTCTGCACACAAATGATATTATCTCATCTGTTACAGTGACAAGTTTTCTGGTGTTCTTGCCATTAAGAGTCTTAGTCTAGTCACACAGTGGGCATGAGGCTATTTGGTGAGACTGGGTATTATAGTCTGCTTAGCTCTTTATCAGTACTTCCCTTAAATTAATTTAAAGCTAAGTGTGACCTGAAATTGATATTATATATATAATATTTACCATCTAAAAACACTTGACAATTGTTGCATAGAAAAAGCCATACAATTTGACATTAATATTTTAAAATAATTCAGTTGGCAAATAAGGAAGTATCTCCGCCAAATGAAATAAAAAAGGAAAAATACTGCAAAATGAGGAGAACAGGATAGGAGCAGTGGAAAGAAGGTATGACAGTTCAAGGGATGGGCGTATGTTTGCAAAGTGTTGGTTTAACATACTTCTTGAAGGCCATCAGAAAAATAACCCTTCTGTGAGAGACATTTAACTATTTACTTCCATTTCAGTCATCTCTTAGCTAGGTGTTCCCTGCTAGGTGAATCTGATGGGAATTTCCTGCAGGATTCAATCCTGGTTTCTTCCTCAGCAGGAAAACTTAATTCCTGTTGCCTGTAATTCTCCCCAGCCCTGGAAGTGGTGGAGAACTAAAAGCTTTAGGAACTCAAGAGAGTTTGTGGGAATGAGTTTTGATTTGATTTTTTTTTTTTTAATGACAAAAATTTGTAGATCGAAAAGTCATAGAGAGTGGAGAAAGAGAGCTGTGGGAATCTGGTCTGAGACATCCATAACTCCCTGGGCTTTATGCCAGCATGCACATACACAGAAAAAATGATTCACTGGGTGTAGTGTCAGAGAATACCCTGGGGGACACTAGGGCTCCTGCTTCAGGGATGCTGTGGCTGTAGCTGACACGGCGTCCAAAACACAGCACTGTACCAGCTATTAAGGAGAAAACTACATCTATCCCAGCTAAAAACAGTCAGGATGTGAAGCAATGGCACAAGTAGAAAGCACTCTCCTGATGTGAGTACATACTGAGACCATTTTAAGGGAACAGAATTTATGGCACTGTGTCTTCCCAGTGGTTTCCTGTTCCAAAGAGGCATAACCTGAGGTTTTGGAAGTTTTTTTTTTAAAGAAAGCAGGTTGTTTTTGCTGACTCAACCTCAGTTATAAAAAGAATACATCACCACATCAGCTGTGTTCTTGTGGCAACAAAGGTGTTGCAGTTCAGTAGGTGCAGCTCCACTCAGAAGAGCCTGTACATTTATTGAAAGGTCATAATCAAGAGACACAGTCAATCCTGTACTGAGAAACCAGAAACAATACTGGACTCTTTTAAATTTAAGTAGACTTCCAGGACAGCCATAAAATAAATTTATGCATTGCAATTTGCATGTATGTAGAAATGTTTCCAGAGAGCCAGAAAAGCAGAGGTTCTGAGCAGTGAAGAGCTAAAACACAAATTATATGATTTGGAATAGGAGAGTTGCTGTTAAATGAAGTCCATGTGAAGACAGACACAGAAGGATATTTTGCTTTACTAGCAATGAGAGTGTCCTACTCAAAATTTAAAGATACAAAATTGTATAGTACACACTTGCTCTACTCCTGCAGTCAACAGGGAGAGGAGATGATACCTCTGGAGTATAACAGATCCTTGCCTGTCACATCCAAGGTGAAACACTCTCCAGACCTGACTGTTAGCTATCCTGGCAGCTTAACAGCTTGCTTGCACTAGAAATGGTAAGAACATGGATCACACATGATGTGGTGGGCTTAGACTTTGCTGTGATTCTGTGATACTGTGACTATTGGCAGGAAGATGAACTGAAAGAGAATGACTCTGAATACCAAGGACCCTGTGGAGTTTGCTGGATAATTGCCACTGTTGATGTATTCTTTTTCTGCCAGATTTATAAAGAAGTTTGTGAGTACTTTTTTTTTAATCTTTAGTCTTATTCCCTGTTTCTCATTAGAGATACAGTCTCTTAAAACAGCTAACTATTGGTAACTGAGCCAGAGACACTGTTGGATCTCTCAGCTTCCATTTCATTATAATCTTTACAGATTTTCGGAACTTCATAAGTTACTCTTGCAAAAAAAAATTTATTTTCTGACATTCCACTTCTGGTATGTCTGTGGGCAGATTTAAGTAAGAGAATGAAGCAAACTCTTAAGTAGTCAGTGATTCTTTAACTTCAAATTTTTTTTGTGTGTGCTCACACTGAGATTTCTAGTCAGTCTTCAAACATGGATTGGTTTTTATGACTAGTGAGCTAATTCACAAAATTATAATTTCATGCTTGCACCATGTGAATTTATAAGCTTATTTGTCATACTATGCATATTAACCAAATAAAAGCATGTTTCTGGAGCAACTTTTTGATTTATCAAAGGTCACTGTGAATTATCTTTTTAAGTCGGTGCCCAAAAAATATATTCTCAGTAGTCTGTCTAGAAAGTGAATTATGAGGATGATGAATATAATCAAGGATTTTGGAAGGTTATTTGTTTGGTTTGGGGGTATTTTCAGGGGTATTTTGTTTTGTTCTGTTTTTATTAAAACCTATTTCTGTGTCCAAATAATACTTTCTGGAGGATATTTCTGTGGTTCATGAATTGTGGTATGATCATTGTGTTATCTGAGATTTTGTAATGAAAGCCTGTATCCATTCCCTAATAGACTTTTAAGAGGAGAATTGCCATGAAAATATTCCCATGGTGGACACACATCAAGTCATACCAAGTTCACTCTCAGGATGGAGAAGATAAAGTTGTAAACCCAGTTGAAACTGGGACTGAAACCAGTTAACTGGGACTGAAACCCAGTTAACACTTACTGTCTGAATTTGGTGAGAAGGATGAGATTGTAGCCCTGAGCTTATAAAAAATCAAGAGGAGGCCATATCAGTTCCAGAAATTAGAACTGAAAAACTAAACAAACATGAAATATCCCTTTCCTGTTTTCTAGTTTCCTTCTCCTGATCCAGAATTTTGTTTGAGAGACGATGCCATAAAAAGAATTATTCATAAAACAGAATTCAATTGCAAGAATGCAGCATTTAAATAATGTAAAGCTCATTTAAGCCACACACACCAGTAAATCTTTTTAATAAAATCTGTTCTAGAGCTTTACTATTACTAATTTTTGCTTCAGTGTGTCAAATATAAAAAAATAAATTTAAAATCTCTTACTGCTACAAACATACCCTGAGAAATAGTCCCACATTTCTGTATTTAGTGATACATTCAATATTTTAAAAATCTGCTCTAAGCTACAAAAATGCCTTTCATATTGAAAACAGAACACCATCTCCCTTGCCAAAATATTTCAGAGGAGCATACAGCTGGTTCAGTCACTGTTGTAATTATAAGAAATCTTTTGTTTGTGTATGAAGTCTGCAAAGGGAGTGAAAAATTATAGGAATTCTTTGAGGTAAATTGTAGGAAAATCACCATTTCAGCAAATG